GTTCGATGACTTGCAGGCGCCGACCACATACCGGGGTAAAAATAGAGGCTGTACAGAGTAGCCCGCGGGACTTAAACATTCCTGCCGATATTGTAGAATGCGAAAAGATTCAACACCACGTTTCTACATTTTCTTGATATCGTGCATCGATAATGTGCATAAGTTATACATATATCTGTAGACTTCTTTAGAAATGTTAAAAAAACGGTTGAAACCGTAAATCGTTACCAACAAAGCAGTTTAACATTTCATAAAAAAAATTCATTATAAAACCATTAATCTTTCTAAGTACATTTTTTTATACATAAAGTTCCTTTTTTAAATGGCATTCGTCCGCCATTTTGAATTTCAAAACTGTCTGTTTTAAAATCTAAAATGGCGGAACAGTCGGTTGTTATTTTACCCTGTTTGAGCTCTTAAGTCAGGTTTAAAAGAATTTTATAATATAATAAACATTTTTGAAAGCGATTGTTTCTTAATTGCAAAATTGTAATGACCCACCAACAATCGAATCTACGTCCCACTCAAACCATCAATTATTTGATTATACATAATTGTATGATGAATTTATAAATAATCAATTGCATGGGAAGATAATTACGCTTTGTTTCCATTGTGTAAGTTAATTTCGTAATGATCTATCGTATAATGTCATAATACACAAAATATATTTCCATATTCATAAGAATTATAATCGTGTTGATCTCACAAAGTATTTATGGCTGCGTTTGTGAAATATTCTTTAACAAAAATTTTTAATTAACTACTTTGCTTGTAACCGTATCTATAGGTCAATATTTAAAAAGAATCTGATGGGCTTATTGTAGTCCTGTGTTTGAATTATGGGGAAACAACATACATTACGAGCAAACATTATAATAAACTTTAAAAAAAAATTGGGGGCTCCCCTATGTGTATAGCACACGTATCCGACACCCCGTGCCGTTACAATAAATTGTAAATAATATAAGTAATGTAATTTACTTTGTCAACGTTAAAACTATTTTATTTAAATGTGTACTCGCGTAAGCTACTGACAATATATAATAAATTGCTTCTTAATAATTGATCATTTAAAGAGACATAGAAATGTGTCTGCCCATGCCTCACGTGTCAAAACCGGGATAAATAGTTGTAAAAATAATTGCCAAGTGCAAAGATTTTTTTATTACATATTCGCTTTTATTTCTTTCTGGATACGCGGACACAGCTAGTGTTTAACCCTTACAGGACCATAAGATGGCTGCGAATGAATTTGCGAATACAACATAATATTTTAGCTATTTTGGGTGTTAAGTAAGAGACTACAGACTAGACTATTTTATACGTTTAACTTTGACATTAATCCGAAAGAAATTCGATTCGATAATAATTGATAACGATTTTTGTAAAGGGGAAAAATCTTTCCCTTGGGCGTGAAACGATTAAATAAAACTAATATGTATTTTCATGGCGTAATCATTATAACCGGTAGGCGTAATTATCAACAATCAATTGAGGTGAGGGCCTGCAAGTGACTTCCAAAATGTTATGCCATGAGAGACAAGCGTGTGGCATATGAAAAACCGGTTTTAAATCTTGCTACTGTACGAAGTGGTACTGTATGTGATTTCTTTTGTAATCTCTTGTCCCATTTATTATTCAAGAAGGCGAAAAAAAGATAGAGATACTGAATATCGGATCTCCCTGCCCAGATGAGATTTCCAGATGAAGTCCAACATGTTTCAGAAAATCCGGTGGGGATCGAAGCTACGACCAATTTACCTACCACCAACGAGGGCGTTAATTTTCGTCGAATTATCAAATACCCAAAGCTAGAAATAGGTCGACAACATATTTTGTTTTAGATATAGCTGGGATATTTCTCCTAACATTAAACGAACCCCATTCTTATCTGTTTTGCTCAAATCAACTTTTGCTGGTTTGTATAAAACTCCCAGAGTTTTACTGGGTCCCAACCCACCGGCCAATGTCTGGTCATTGTATTCCCAGCAGTGGGACTGATAAATGGATCCGTTCGATATCTTTGCAATTTCAAAAATTATTAAAAAAAACCACTGTTTGCACTCGAACCCACTACACCGTTGCGGGCACCTCATCCTTGAATTTTACATTTAGAAAAGTAGTCTCGCCGACGACGACGTCTAAGGTAACTAAAGAACAAAATTTTGTTTTTTGATGTTTTAAAATTCTTCTCGACGACAATTTTCAAACATATATAATTTAGTCTATATATTTACCTAAAAATCAAATAACAAAAAGCCCTGTCTATTTTCAACAGTACAGAACTCTGACCTTAAACCTGTTTTGCAAGATCTAGAAGTCTAGATCCATTACAACGGCCATCTTGTAAAAGATAAAATGTTATTGCTATCAAATGGAGAAAGTTAAGCTTCAAATAATATTCAGCTCAGCTTAAAATTATATCGATTTCTATGATGTTTTGAACAATTTAAATAAAACACTTTAACGGTTTAAAACGCGATACATTTTAGTTAAACTTGTTTGAGAATTATTTTTAACTACGGCCCGACGTTTCGGATGCTTTGCACCAGTCGTGATCACGGGTACACTAAAGGTGGAGGATGTCTCTGACGTCAAAGTAAAATTTTCTAATTTAGCGCCATTTGTTCCGTCGAAGTTGGTATTTGGCGAAACTGGCCGGGTCCTTGCAGAATTGACTCAAATTGGATTTTAAAATAAATTCCAATATAATTATCTAATCTATTTTTATTATTATTAGTGTTAGTAATGATTGCTTAAGATCTGAATGTTTTACAACGGAAACTGTAATTAAAAATAAGCGGTTTTGAGTAACATTACCTTAATTAAATACACACTGATCGAGTTCTCTAGGTAAGGATATCCTCAAATCGTGTCTTTTAAGCAAGGCCTTTTAAAAGTCAAGATTTCCTAATGAGAGAAGTTGCTTAAAACATTCTTCACATACATTGCATACTGCAATGCGTGCACAGATTACATAAAAATCTTTATCACTTGTTTTATTGTACTATTTGATACCTGCTAGATTTTAAGCGTGCTTCTATACGTGTTCGGGGTAAAAGTAAATAAATATACTTTAAATAGTTTAAAACCGTTCATTAACCGATAAAAATCTACATTCTGCCATATCTTACATAGATTTGAGGTTGCTAGCGGCAGAGTGGCCTAATTACAAAAAGCAAGATTTTCAATAAGGAGAAAAATAAAAATGCGCATAGCGCAACTTTCTCAACAAGATATTATAATAATGAAGAAGTATTAAATATGACGCCGCTAGAGACAGAGAGGCCTAATAACGAAAAACATGATTTTGAACATAATAACGCCCAATTAGCTTGGGCGAAAATGAATTTGTACTATTATTTGTGAAAGAACAATGTTAACAATTTTCGGTCACTGTGCTCTTGTGGATTAAGGTTTTTAGTCATAAACAGTGCAGTTAGGCTACTCTGTCTCTAGCTGCCTCATTTATATTCACGTCTAGTTAATACTACTACTATCTTATTATTTCATACTTCGAGCAAATGTTATGATTGCTCCACTATATTGATGATTTCATTTGTGACATTATCACAAGATAAACAATGAATGATTTTTCTCACACACTTCACATTTGCTCTTATTTACTCCATAAAATGTCTAGTTCAAGGCAACTTGCTGTCATTAAGTGTCACTCGTGAAGGCAGGTGTTCTGTATAATATGAAATGTTTATTTTAATCTACTGTGCTAAACTGTAATAATTGAGTTTCTTACTAGTATTTAGGATAGAGAAGAATTTTTCACCACCCAATGTTCAAATTTGGAAAACATAACTTTAATTATTTTTCACATGTTATAGTGTACATGATGGCATTATGTAAAATAAAAATCTATTCAGACTTATAAAAAGGCAATACGGGCGCAAAAGGTGTATGGGTTTGAAAATTTACTATGACATGTAATAAATTGGTTAGAGCAACACGGTTCCCTCTAGATGCCAGTTCAAGTCCCAACTGTCTCGTCAATTTTATTCAATCTAAATACATTTTCAAATTGTTTTAGAAAATATTATAAACATATTAAACCAGATAAGATCTTTGTTACCATTGGACTGACCAAAGCCTTTTTTAATTGAATATGTCTTTCCAGTTTAAAAAGCGATATATTAGTTATTACTTATTTGAAAATTATTTTTAACTTCGGCCCGACGGTTTAAACCGTTCAACCTACTCGCGTAATCTATAGACAGAATTTGATGTCTTTCCAGCCTTCACGTGAACGTTAATACGTATCTTAATAGTAGGATTATTGTTTAATTTCCAGAAAATTTAGGAAACACCGGAGTAGTAAAATGATAGTACATATTTATATCGAGAGCCCTTTTAAAAAGGAATCTTAGACTTACATATTCTTATCGGGTAATGACTATAAACTGCACAATAATTCGTTTTACACTGTCCCATCATATTCCTACTTAATGTATGCAATTTCTAACACAACAATGGAAATTAACAATAGGCCATCACATGTGAACGATACACTGACATCCGATTTTCCAGACAGCTTTTCATCTGTGATAAAATGTTATTAAAATGTCTACGAAGAGAGTATAAAGATTTTTTTTTTCTTTTTACAGATGCTTGGTTAGAAAACCTGAGAGGAAGGAAAATGGAGAGTGAACGCATGAACTTTTATCAGCTGTTGGGATGACAAAGGTGATTAACTGTTTTGTGGATAACCTCACTAATTATACTTTAATCTTTTGTCTTTACTTCAAGAGATCCCGGGGTTGCGAACCGGGGGGAAGAAAAATTGGGGGCAAAAAACTTGCCAGCCAAAAAATTTTTTTTAAAAAATTTTTTTTTTTTTTCCCCCGGGGGGGGGGGGGGGGATTTTTTTTTTTTTTTTTTTTAAATTTTTTTTTTTTTTTTTAAAATTTTTTTTTTTTATAACCGTATCCCCATATAGGATTGTTTGTACCATGAGACCCTCGATGATTTATTTTCAGTGAGAAACCATGTCACAGTCAATGGGCCTGGGTGGGGAGCGGCGCTACTCCGTGCCCTCGAACCCTATGATGCACGATCCTCGCGGGATGCATTCAGAGGACCTGCATGCTTGGTCTATTTACAGGTGGGTTTACCTTCATCCCAGGCACAGGTCTAATCCATCTATAGGAGAGGGTTCTAAGAGCAAATCACTACTTCAGTGCCGGTTGGCAGGCTTTAAAAACGCCACATAAGTGGTACCGGGATCGATGGCATAATTTGGTTTCAGGGGCACAGGGTGATGGCACATCCTACTTAGGTGATATGATATATAGCTGATATATGACTCCAGGCTAGGGAATCGCTGAGACATCACACCATTGACGGGATTTTCCAATGGTAGCGATGTATAGCTATAATAATCGTGGTTTCAATCCCCACCAGATCCAATAAGATTAAATTAATTTTTAATTTTTCAGAAACATGAAGGACTTCGTTTGGCAATCTGGATATCAAATTCAGGGTAGTAATATCGAAATTCCATACGGGTCGTGAACCAGCGGCCACAGATGAAAAAGCTGTCAACTTTAATTGCATTTTGGTTTCAGCCTGTGGCTTTCCGAAAGGTCAAGCTGAAATTGGTTGACAGCGCGTCTAGTTTAGCTGTTATACGGCAGTGGAAAAAATATAATAAATGCAAATGTTTGTTTAATTGTATTTTTACGTTTCAGACAAAACCTCAATTCAGATTTCACCGACAGTGCTCTGGGTAGCACGGACAAAAGCCCTTTGCCCTACGGAAACTTTCAGCTGCGTGACACCACTGTACAGTCGATACTGTCACATCCAAGATATGGACCGAAGTATGTATTTATAATTTCTAACTGGTCCAGAAAATCTTATTACACCAAAAGAGACAATAAACCTTTGAAGAATAATGTGAATCTGCTGTCTCTATCATACTTTAACCAGCCAAAATATTAGTTGCTGGAATTAGGAAGGTTCTTTTTTTTTCAAGAAATATCAACACAGAAAACTATATCGCCAAGATTTAATGGTAGCAAGCTATGGCTAACTTTTCGTGGGTTCGATGCCTACCGGTACAAACATGTTTCTAATTAATTTATATTTTTCTGAAACACATTGGACGTATAGAACGTTTAGGTTCCAGTCTGTGGATTTCCATACAGAAAGGACTTTAGGTATACATATAAAGACAAGAAAACAGGTCGAGAGCGCATCTTGTTCAGATGTTATACAGCTAGCTAGGGTATTAGCACCCACTATCAAGTAAACCTCAAGCATCTGTCCTCCTCTAACATATAAAAATGAAAACGTTTATTTTTTGTTTAATTGTCACAAAAATATTTCGCCTCTTTCATAACTGACCAATTTATTTTATTAATTGTTATAGCAATTAATAAACAATAATAATCAGATTAAATCAATACCATAGATCGGCTCTCGGGTCCAACATGTACACTTACCTCAAATTCGGTCTGCCGCGTGTGTTTCCACCAAATCACAACGGCTCCCAGAGATCGGGGACGCCAAAGCCGAAGACTTCAATCGGAAGTGGGATGAAGTCGATGCCGAGGTATGAGTTTCTTATAAGTTTTAGCTTAGTTAAATTTGGGTGTCCAAATCTATTTAAAAAAAATGTTTTTATTGAAATTCTAAGGAATGATATTTTACGCTTTGCCTAGCTATATTTTGGATTTGAATTGTGTCTGAAATCCTGTTTGACAGGGCACTTAAGATAGGTCGTCCATGTCCCACATTAGAGAAAGAAGATTTAATTATTTTAATCCGTACCGTACGGATCGCATATATATATTAAAGCTCCTTAATTCTGTGTTATAAATCACAATTTCGTTATATTCTCTCTCCAAATATTCATGACCAGCTTAGTGTTTATTTATTTACTTTGTTTGTACATATTTTATTTTCTTTTAATTAGTAACATTGTAAGGAATAATATCCCCCTTGACCACGGCTGCTGCATAGCATACAAATTAACATTTGACACTTTAAAGACGGAATATATGGCACCATCATGTTATTGGGTATTACTATGACAAAGAGACAGAGAAGAGAAGATTAAGAGTAACTCGATTCGTATATTACAGAATCCAGAGACAGAGTAGAGGAGTTAGAGAGACCTCGTCAGGTTATGATAGTTCAGACAACGAAACCTCAACCAATTACAAATACAACCGGAAATACCGCTCGGATCCAGACTTCAGGTTACAGAACATGCATCAGACTTATCAAGTAAGATATTATGCGATTCCATTCCATTTATTTATGCAGGTAATTAATAAATATAAAATAATAGGCGAACATCTCGCCCACACTATTCTCGTCGCTAAAATGTTATAAAAGCCTAAGGCGTTACTATGACTCAACCTTGCAAATTAAACTATTTTTAACCAGAAAATTATTTATTTAATCGTTATATTAGGGCGGGTCCTTCTGTTGCAATCAGACAGCTTTTAATAACATCTAAAAATAGATAGAGTCATAGAGTCACGCTCGATTTATTAAGATAAGTTTTAGACCGTCTTAAGACAAATTACTTCTTGCATGAAATACCATTTCTTATAAAAATACATAATGTAGCAAGGAACACCTATGGAGTCTGATTTGTTCTTCTTTTTCTTCATCTTAAAGATCCAGCATAAAATATGACCTCATTTAAAGAAATGATTAATCTTTTGGTCTTGTAGCATGCAACCGGTGTGCCATTAGTCGCGATGCATCAAGCTGGAATTCGTGATTCCCAGTGGGGGACATCAAAACATAAATCAGTGAGTGAGGCGAATCTTCTTGGCATCGATGCGCGCACGCATCGTTCTTACACCAATAGACGAAACAGCGTCGCAGACTTTGTACCGGACAATGATCATCAGAGGTTAGTTAATTGTGTGTTTAGGATTAGGAATAATAGTACATCAATTTTAACCTTATTGTACCCAATCAAAGCAAAAATAAACTACTTAGCAATTTGTTAATAATTTTAGCAAATTCTTAATAATTGTACTCTTAGCTTATGTTTTAGAAAATACACATATATTTAAAATAAAACACTAGAACGGTTTAAAACGCGATATATATTAGGTAGACTACGGCCGCTGCAAAGCATCCGAAACATTGGGCCGTAGTAAAAATAATATCTAAATCCCTAGCCAGATCATGGACGCTAATATTTCTATATGAGGATTTTTCTAGCTACCTTATGCCAGCGTCTCACCTGGGCGGACGTATGTCGAAGGCGGGAAGCCATATGTCTGTAGCCCAATCCAGGAAACATTCCACACTCCGGCCTGGCGATCATCTGGATGGCTACGCGCATTCTACTTATATCTATCCAAATTATTATGTAAGTCTGTTTCAACAAACTATCTTAATATATAATGGAAAACAAATCAGAAGGCAAATCATTTCCCTCATTGGGTAATTCCATAAATTATAAGCCTTCAGAAATTTTGTGAAGCTACATCAGTTTTGAACTCCCTGGCCGTCGTAATTGAGAAATGTTTCTCAAAGTTTTCGCCTACTTTTTTATGATAGAGGAGAACAAGCAAGCTTGGGACTCACTTGACGGAAGGTTATATGTAACCTTCCGTCCATATGACCCCAGCCATATGACTACTTAACAAGAAGTCTTAACAAGAACCTATCGAACTGATTTGGCTTTGGATAACACTAGGTCTGTCTTTACTAAATATAAGAACGCAATTTTATTTCTATCTTTTTCTAAGTCGATCATACATCACTTGATGCTCTTTCAGGTAAACAGCTTAGAAATAACTTCACCAGACAATAGTTCAACTCTGCTCGTGTCAGGATTGAGCTTTGAAGTGAAGTCTGGCGAAATCCTAGCAGTTCTCGCTACTTCGCAGCAGGAGGCCACTGGACTGCTGGATGTTCTGGCTGGTGCAAGAAAGGTAAGCAAACTTGATATTTTTATAACCGTGATCATGGAGGTATATTTAAATTCCATTAAAACCCGACAATTCGAATGTCCTTTCCAAATGTCAGGTCGTTAAAAGTTATTTCAATATTTCAAGTTTTAAACCGTTCAATGAGCCACACATTGATTTAAGTGGGGAAAGTAATATAGAATTATGGTATCTATTTTATTCTTTTGTAACGATTTTATAACCTTTCCAGAAACTAACAGGCGACATAGTACTAAATGGACAGCCGGTTGCTTCTTCAACGCTACGGAAAGTGGCCGCATATGTTCGTAAGGACACCTCCCTCTGTCCCGCCATGACTGTGGAGCATACTTTGCGATTCCATGCAACACTGCGCACCCCCAGACATAACATTAATCATGTGAAAATGGATGACCGTGATCGGGTAAGGATTTTTATTGAAATCATTGTTATATTTTAGACCAATAAAATTACTAAATAAATATAGAGGCATATATTGATTACTTCTTCTTCTTGGATTTTCGAGATGGTTCGAGTGTCATAATTAAGGAGTTATTCTGAACATTTCGACATCGAACACACGGTTGAACAGGTTGAGAACTTAAGAAGCTTTGAAAAATTACCGATAATACCTTTTGATTTATTTAACCATCTGTTTAAATTAATAAATAATAACATTTTAAAAGTTGTCTGATAGTTATTAAAAAAGGCTTTGTACACAATAAGGCATGTGTATACACATCTTACAGAGATTCTTTGGATTCCTTCAATATAAAATTTGACTAAAATTATTTGTCTCAAAATGTAAACTATGCTTAAATACTTTGCCTTAAAAAAGTGCCAAAAGTAACTTTTATCCTTCGGCTTTGTTTAAGTACACACACACACACACACACACACTCTCTCAGACACACACACATACATACACAAACACACAATTACATAAAAATAAAGTGACTATGTGTGTATCGATCATATTCGTAATACAATTTCTTACGCTCCGCATTTTATTATTCCGTATTGTTTTTGATTTTTTAAGTTCTAATAATAGTTTATGTCTTCACAGATAAACCTTCTAATAGAAGAACTAGGTCTGGAGCAAGTGAGAGACACGAACGTCTGCCGCCTCACTCGCTCCGAGGTCCGTCGTTTGAACGTCGCCTGTCAATTGTTACTTGACATGGCGGTGCTGATACTGGACCAGCCTACAAAAGAGATGGACATATTTGACACGTTCTTTCTCGTAGAGTATTTGAGGAACTGGGCGAGTACTGGTCGTGTGGTCATCATGTCTCTTCATCCGCCTACGTATGAGATCTTTGCTATGTTGACTAAGGTAATCTTTTATTGTTTTTATAAAACTAAAAATTAAATTACTTATGTCTGTAAAAATATTAGCAGTAACTTCGGATATTTCTTATCGTTAAGTAAAAACAATTGATGCAGTAAATCCAGCCAGTTTTTTAAATGCATACCTACTATAAACAGATGGCGCTAGCGTAACAGTTTTTACTTTGACATTGTTTACACCATCTTTAGTCTCCCCAGGACCCAAAGAGAATCTAAAACATCGGTTGTAGTTTAAAAATTTAATAAACTAAATAAGTAAATAAGTGAACATTTCACGTTAAAAGTATTTTACTTAAATACGACATTTTATGACATTTATTATAGGTATATAAAGTTAGTCCCCCCGTGACCATGACTGCTGTAAAGCGGAAAGGCTATTAAAAGATTTTATATAAGTTACATAAATAAACGTATTTAATTTAAATGTGTACTACCCTCGTTAAACACAGGCAATACTTAAGTTAAATATTTGCGGTAGGTGGTGTTAATATCAGCTGGTCGCACAATGTTCAGCGGTTACAGAAGAGATATGTTGCCATACTTCGCGTCCATAGACTATCCTTGCCCAGCTTTCAAGAACCCTTCGGATTACTACCGTAAGTTTCTTTTTTTATTTACACGAGTACATAAGTGTGTTTGTTATATGTTCGTGTCCTATAATTTATTTATGACATAAATAACCTAGTTACATCATATTTTAAATAAGTGTATACATAGTAAGTAACGCGTTACGTCCATCTTTAATTTAAACTCAAACTCACTTGGTGATAGGTGAAATATCCCAGCTATATACCGTCTTGCTTATGCGCTGTCGTCCTATTTAGCTTTTGGATTTTCGAAAATCCACAGGCTGAAAGCGAGACGCGATTAAACATGACGTTTTTTTTATCTATGGACGGTGGTTCGTGACCCGGACAGAACTTCGATATTTCTACCACCCATTTAATTAATTAACTTATTTTAATTTAATGTAAATAGAATAGTAGGAATAATTTCCTACAATCCCAGCTCTGCACTTCCATTTTACTACTCGTTCATAATGAATTCATTCTTTTCAGTGGATTTAGTAACGTTAGACGATCTATCCGCGGCGGCCATGTTGGAATCATCAGGTCGTATTGAGGCTCTAGCTGGGGTCTTCGCTGGGGCCCACACTGCTCCGGAGCCCCCTCCGCCTGTACCCCTACCAGCACCGGTTACACGATCTAATGTAGCTGTACAGTGTTTTGCGCTGCTTGAGTGAGTAGTTCTATATAAATGAAATAAAATTTTCTGAAAGGACCATTTGACTGGACACAGTCTATAATACGTATTTTTTTTTCTATAACAGAAAGAGCATGCTTTACACCCAAATGACAACTCTATCGAATGTCATCACTCGTGTTCTTATAGCCGCTCTTATGTCCCTCGTTGTTGGGACCATATTCTGGGACTTACCTGACACTGATCCCAAGGTATGTAGCAGTAACCTGAAAATCATTTAGTTACCTAATTGAATATTAGAAGGGGTGATAAAAAATTATTGGTACATTTAATGAAATAAGCTTTGACTGTAACATTTGAAAAAGAAGCCATCCTTTTACGTTTTTAAATTAATAATAGAGATTATAAATAAAAGTAAGTTGGCGAATTTAACGGTTATTTACATTATGTAAAGGACTTATGATGGCAAATAATAACTGTTATTTATTTTTAAATCAAGAGCCCACTTGTTATTCAGTTTTTTATTGTATAACTATCGTCATCAATCAACGTTAACAATTTTTCTATATCTTTTCCAGCTAACACAAAACGATCGCATCGGCTTTCATTATTCAAGCATGTGCATATGCGCATGGCCGATTCTTTTATGGCTAAGCGCAAGGGAGGCGAGTTCCATGCGACGCTATGTAGAACGAGATATAGCTGTGGGGCTGTATTCTAGAACTATCTTTATATTGTTCGATGTAGGTATATATATCGTAGTAGGTAGGTATATCTTTAGAAACCCCATTACGATATTATATAGATATTTCTTAATTTAGCATATATATTTTTTAATTAATACAGCTTGCAGGAATTATAAATTGTATCCCCTATAATGCATCTTAACTACAAGAGCTACCACAGAACATTATTAAATTCACGGCTTCCACACCATGGAATGGGAAATTAAACTTTAAAGGTTATATGTAACTATGAAATAATTTAACCTTAACTCACTTTGTTATTCCAGCAATTTCTAGAACTTTGGTCGGCGATATTAACGTGGTTAGCTTACTTGGTGCCCAGTTACGCTATGTCTGGTCTGTATGCGCAGGCGCCGGGTTCGTTCGATGGTTTTTACGTGTATTTAGGTGAGTAGGGAGCTAAGTATCTAATGTTCATTGATAAAGTTCTGACTTTTCAATGAGAACATTTAAATAACGGATACGTAAAAAAATCTATTAAGACTGTTCTACTCATAAGATTATCTGAACTGTTTAATTGTGTGTTCTCATTTTGCTTCATATATTTTGTAGGTTACATGGTGTTATATCTCGTAAGCATCCAAATGCTCTGCCGGGCTACCGTCTTCGTAATTCCAATGGAGAAGACGGCTTCAATCATATCCGGATTCTGTCTCCTACTTAGTACACTCGTTTCTGGGTTTACCCTGCATGACCAGGACCTGACAGTGTATACCAGGTGGCTGCAGTACGTTTCGCCATCACGTTGGGTTCTACCAGAAATTCTGAGGCGAGAACTCAGTGAGACTGCTTTGAGGAGCAGTATTAGTAAAGATCTAAGATGTACTAATAAACAGGTTAGTTCGCAAAAAAAAATCATTTCAGTATGGGGAAGAATGTTTGTTTATAAAGAATAATAGAAATATATCTATTTCATTATTTAGAATAAAGAGTCTTTTAGTTAATAAAACCGTTTTGTTAATTGAAACAAACATTAAGTGACCAAAAAAACACTTGATGGTAGTTTTACCTTGACTGTGTACTTGAGCATAGAGCGAACACATTTATATCCGTTCTACTGGTTATTTTTATTACAGTACAAAGTAGATGATAAGACTTGTTTGTATTTTGCCGGGATTCTCAAGACCTCTAATATTTAACGCAATTAAAACATAATTAACCACTGAGATACAGAGGCATATTTCTTATTGTGCCTTTTTTTTTTTTTTGGCTTATAGGCTTTTGTTGCTTGGTAAGAAACGAATAAGTGGGGTTGGGAAGATCAGTTAGCATTAGATTTCATTAGAAATTACAAACAGGTTTGTAGAAGTTGACAAACATATTTGACCTGATTATTATTTTTTCAGAGACAAAACCCCGACATAATTGTGAAAGCATCTTGTCCACCACCGAACGGGACTCAGGTGTTATCAAGCTTCGGTTATCTTAGATCAGACAGAATCTGGGAGGAAACGGAAGACAACTTCCTGATAGCGTTGGCCGTTTTTTATGCGGTTTTCGCTCTAGTCGCAATATTTGCATTTGTTTTCGACTGCACTAAGTACGCGAAGACTAAAGATAGGTCGGCGTTGAAAGGTCACAAAGTTAGTGTTAATACGCCTTAAAGTTTTGAAGATGAAACAAAATTTTTGGTAGCAAATATATAACATACGGAGTAGTAAATTTTTAGCAGTGTTCCAAGGTGGAGTCGACAAAAACTACCCGCAAAAGTTTGTGCAACGCAAAACTGTCGAAAAAAAAGCGTAGAATTTGCCACAAATATTAATAAGTAGTTATGTTTACTCTGAAACACTCCTAAAAATATTTAAATATATTACTTTGTTTGCGTAACAGCTAAAATAAGTTTTTTTTACATTACAATGTGATGCTTTAGTATTGAAAGAAAAAGGACTTTTTATAGTGACATTAGTATATTAGAATAAGCCCATACAGAGTTGTGTTTTGTATCCTTCATTCGAATTCTTAATTATATTTGCGTGACAGAGACGAAATATAGAACACCTTTCAAATTTTGTAATAAGGAAGTTTATAAGTAAATAAGGTATTTAGTGACTATAGATATACTAAAAATGGTGCACCTAAATAAATTGGTGCTTCCTGGTTCTTTTAGCATTTCATCTATGCTCAAAAATGGTCGTGAGTTGTAGGTACATTAGATTTAATTTTAATATTTAGTAGGTAAAATGTGAAATCAATGTACAAATAATGATAATTGATTGATGAAGGCTGAATATTGTAATGTCTTCCGATATACTTACTTGTATTCTAGCATAATGTATAATACTTATATATCTTTTTCTATATACATTTCTATTTTCGTAATTCTTTAAGCATTGCTCGGGCAATTCTACACACTGCCTTTTGAATGCTCATAACTTCTTAGCGATAATTGTTTATTCATAAAAGAAGCCATAATGTAAAAATTATATTTACGTTACCTATTCATTTCATTTGTATCGAATAAAAGAAACAATATTTGTTTATTGGTGCTTTTAATTAATAACATTGTAAAATAATTTAATAAATAACGAAGACAATAAATGATTTAACTATATACAGTTTCCATAGTCCTAACGGTGGTTAAAATAAAATCGATTAGTTGCAATGAAAAAATAATCGATTGTTAAATAAATAAATATTAGCTATGAAATAATTCATGATACCGTTTACAGATTCCGCAGAGACAAGGTGAGATTTTATAGTTGCATTTCATTTTATCGGAATTGCTGGTGGCTCTGTCGCAGTCAATATATCTGCTTTCGAGTAGAAGTTTCTGAATTCTCTCCTCTTTTTCTATTGTTGCAGCTTCGGAATCTGTGCTTGATCTTTAGAAGAAAATAGATCTTGTTTAATAGAAGAGAATAAAAGTATGACAAAAAGATACAATAATTGCAAAGAATATTTTAACGTTTGTTGTTGAAAATAACTTCGCGCACGGCTCGAAGGACCAGAAATATTGGAGTTGTTATTCATGTGTATTTTATATCCATAAAAGTTCTTTCCCTCTATTAAGATATTTATATCATAGAACAATTAAAAGAAATACCTATACGGATCATATTCCACGCTATTCGGGTTGTTCGCTCCCCATACAACATCACTGGTATCTACATTGTAAATATTGTACTGCCGAGAGGATCTTGGTCGCTTGGGCTGGCATTGGGAAACGGACGCACGGGATCTGGTGGTCAGAGGACTGGAGAGACAAAAGGATAATCAGGATATGTATTTTTTGTGATTGGTAAGTAAGTAGTAGACTGAGGCTGGGGCACTCTAAGGGTCAAACTATCATACTGATTCCCATAATAACCTGTCGTTATTACTTACTTTGGGCAACGACATGATGCATGAGTAGCTGGATCTACTACCAAGCTACAACAAGACTTCGATGCTTCAGACCGAGTGCGCGATCGTGACCTAGATCTGGACGGCATCCGTTTTGATTGATTGCACTTACTCCTGAAATAAATTGTTACACTGAATTAGGTCTTTGGAATTCAATAGAAACATGTAAATGAGTGAAATTATGCTCATTGTTTATTCAAAAGTTTTCTTTTTTCTCCATGCTTTCTTTTGAAAAACTGATACAGTAAACTTAACACTCTGTGTTACTGTGGACTAACTGGTGTTACCTATGATATTGTGCTGAGTGACAGACTTGCTTTTGTCTCGCCTCCGGATCTGGTGGGCTGCAATGGCACGCCTTGACTTTATTAAAGATGCCACAACCCTGACTCCATATTTCATCTATACGCACCTTCGTTGCAATCTCTATTTTTGGTGATAGAATGCCCTAGAAAGACATTATTATACAAATATTTACAATTTTACTGTAAAAGAGAACATCAAGAAAAGAAATTGTTTTTGGATCCTATTTATTTTACATGAAAGTCTTTACTTTTTTTATAAAGTACCTTTTGTTTATACATTAAGTCTTTTTGGGTAGTTGAAAGATGGATATAATTACTAATCAATACCCTGGTATTGTACTTGCAATACTACTAAGTAGTCAAAAAGTTTCCAGTGCTATTTATTGTAGAGTTAGTATGCATCTTTAAGAGTAAAACCTCATAATTTAGTGTCCTTAAACAATTGGGCCACAAAGGCAGCTCATAAAAGAAAATATAATTACAGGAAAGTCTTTAGACCTGCGCATGAGCAGATCAACTCCATCCGTTGAACACACATTAGGTGGGAAGAGAACATCATTCAAGGAGCCCAGATATTGAGCTAGAATGACACACTCGCTTCTAGCACAATCATCACACCATTGAACTAACTCGCAGTATATTGTTTCATCTTCTGTAAAAGAAAGGAATATTTTTTGTAACAATTGGATAGATTAAAATAGCTCCAAAGTTTAGCTTCAAAAGACCAAAACTCTGTACGCACTCAATAAACAGCACATATTGCTTAAGGCACAACTCTCTTGAAACCTCTTGCGGAAGTAGAAGACATCTCGGAACAACAGTGGAAAAACTGGAGGTAGCAAGCAGGTTTGATAAGTGGTGCCAAGTGCAAATACAGTAAGAGATACCCTGCCATCTTGACACAGCCATACACCTGGACATGAGACCTGTAACCATTTTTAAACAATTGATGTAATTTTAATACTAAAAAATACTTCTACATATAAGTCTAGGGCAGTTTCAGTAAATATTGGAAGTCTACTCTTAATCTACTTTTATATAAATATATTTCTGGCTGTAAGTCTTTATTTCTTTTAAGTCTAAAGCACAAAAGAATCTATAACGTGTTACTTGGTAAAATACCTTTTGAACATCTATTTCAATCGTCAATTCAATGACTTTCGGCATCGTTTGGTGGCATAATGTCTATTTAAAGTTATATTTTCATATTCAAACGTTCAGTTTATAACAGAAAATTTTCTGATAAGATTTAAATCTCAGTGACAATATTATTGAAAACAATATGAATTGTTTTCAGTTTTTTTTTATGTTTTGACTTTTAAGCAACAGTTGCTATTGACTACAACGGGTTATGGTGACAGATTGACAATTGACTTTTACTTTTTACAAAACATAACGTTTGCTTTGCGGCTGCGCATATGTCAATATTTATAATAATGCAAAAGTAACATAACCATACTTAATCGAAAGCTTGAAAGCTTTCAATGATAATAAACATCTTTCATTTATGTGCGGTAGGCTTATTAGTCGATTTAATCTAATTAGTAGACAGCGAGATCATAATTTGAAATATTAAATTATTTTAAAATCACCCCAATGAATGCAAAATTACTTCCGAATAATGGTAGCTCCGTCTGTTGTTCATTGGTTTCGCCTAGATTTAAGGATTCACGATAATCTTGCTTTAAGGAATGCAATAAATGAGGTACAGTCACTGTTCAAGTTACACGTTAAATCTTGTATAAATAAATTCAATTCATATTAAACAACAATTTTTCAGGCAGAAAATCGTAGCCACATCTTAAGGCCAATATATGTGATCCACCCTGAAGCGAAAAACAGAATAGGCGGAAACAGGTTGAGGTTCCTTATACAGTCTTTAAACGATTTGGACGCAAACTTACGAAAGTTAAATTCACGCCTTTATATCCTCAGAGGGGATGCAAGCAAATGTCTCCCAAAAGTTTTTAAGAAATGGAATGTAAAATACCTAAGTCTTCAAGTTGATATTGACCCTGAATATATAAAACAAGATGAAGTTATTGAAAAGTACTGTGAAGAGAATGATATATTTGTTGTTAAAAGAGTTCAACACACCGTTTATGATGTGCACAGTGTCGTAAAGAAGAATAATGGAAGTATTCCCCTAACTTACCAAAAATTTCTATCACTGGTCAAAGATACACAAGTAAAGGAACCCATCGAAGTAACAAAAGTATTGTCAGAAGGTTGTAAACCTGTAGATTTTGATTGTAAAGATTATGATGTACCAACATTTTCACAACTGGATTTTGATGAATCTTCTCTACTGGAATGCAAGTATGAGGGTGGTGAAACAGAAGCCTTGAAACGACTTAATGTATATATGGCAAAGAAGCAATGGGTGTGTGCATTTGAGAAGCCCAACACATCCCCTAACAGTATAGAACCAAGTACTACAGTATTAAGTCCATATATCAGCCATGGCTGTCTTTCAGCAAAACTTTTTTATCACAAACTGAAACAGGTAGAGAGTGGAAATAGACATAGCGAACCCCCAGTGTCCTTAATGGGACAACTAATGTGGAGAGAATTTTACTACACAGCTGGATCAGGAACTGAAAATTTCGATAAAATGGTTGGCAACCCTGTTTGCACCCAAATACCTTGGAAGAAAAATGATGAGTATTTAAAGGCATGGGCTGAAGGGAAAACTGGGTATCCCTTTGTTGATGCCATTATGCGACAGTTAAAGCAAGAGGGCTGGATACATCACTTAGCTAGACACATGGTTGCTTGCTTTTTAACAAGAGGGGATCTGTGGGTGTCCTGGGAAGATGGGGCAAAAGTTTTTGAAGATCTGCTACTTGATTATGACTGGTCATTGAATGCTGGTAACTGGATGTGGCTGTCGGCTTCTGCATTCTTCTATAAATACTTTAGAGTATACAGTCCAGTTGCCTTTGGCAAGAAAACTGATAAAGAAGGCTTGTTCATACGAAAATATGTCCCAGAATTGAAGAAGTATCCCACAGAATACATTTATGAGCCCTGGAAAGCTCCTAAGTCTGTACAAACAACCGCTGGCTGTGTTGTAGGTGTTGATTACCCTAAAAGAATCGTCGATCATGATAAAATTCATAAAGAAAATATGCAAAAAATGTCCGCTGCCTATAAACTTAATAAAGAAAAGAAGTCATTAAAGAGACCTCGCCCAGATTAAATTAAAAATTAAATGAAATTACAAGAATCTTGATACTGTTCTCTCTCAATGTTGTTATTAATAATTTATTTTTAATATAATTTTTGACTCTAAAAAATTATATTTCAGTATTCAACTCTTTTTAATAAGTTTAATAAATTAATATTTTATTAAGTTTATGTTGCATCTTGGCTTATAGACGAGTGGAGTCAAGTGTGGTTTGACATTAGCTGATAGTCTTTTCTGACAATTGACATCCAAGTGCCGAATAGGTGACAAGATGTTAAACAATGAAAAAATATTGTTTTGATTTTCGTCATACATTAATAACATATTTAAGCGGTACATTATAGTTTTAATTTTTAAACTCAATTAAAATGTAGGGCTGTTTCGCATAATAACGAGGGGACATTCAGGAGTCGTAACTATGTGTATCATCCAGAATACAGCTTAATATGTATCGCAGAAGGAATGAGCTCCTGAATTCGGGATGTGTCCTAGGCCCGGAGTAATTGGTAAGGATTATTAACTTATTAAGCGAACGTTCTTATAAACAAAGAGATGGGTGACGAATAGGGCCTAGATTTTATTTTTGTTCGGTTCTTTTCTATAGATATACTACATTACATTTTTCCTTCTCTACTGCGTCTTGTTCCCGAAAAGGAAGATTAGCGTAACCAAAAACAAAATAAAATGATGTGAAAGTTTACTTCTGAAAAACGATAATTCAACTGTGTCATATAACTATGGGATGAATTTATGTACCAACTCAACATCTGTTTTTTAACAATCTATATATTGAGATATACATATATAAACAGACATTCATGATAACTGTATCAAATATTGACACTAGGTTGAAGGTCACATAGTTCATTTTCCATTGTTTGACGGTACAATTATAAGTTATGAATATTCAATGACAATGTGATAGTTTTAATGCTGTTCAAATTAAGTTCATTCTTTGATTTAGGTCATTCAATGTGTTAGTCATATGTCTTATTGTCCCTGGGGTTATAATCCTGTCTCAAATTTTCATTATCACTATAACCCTATTGAAGCCTATGTCTACATTTTGCCTGATTTACCATGCAGCACCTATCCAAGCCCACAAATGGTTAGATTAGTCATTCTATTTAAAGGCAAGTGAAAGACATTAGTTTTGTCAAATCCAATATTGCTTTGGTCTTGTGGTACCAATATAGTCTAGCATGTTTCAAAAATCAATTAATGCATTATTTTTCTGAAACTTTGTTTGGAGAACTGAATATTCAATATGTATCACTATCCACAGATAGAAAAGCCTGATTTCTGGATATTCAAATTTTCAAATGTCTAAAACCAAAATAGACCAACAGCTCATCTTGTTGATTTGTATTTTAGCTGTGTTAGTTTATCTTACACATTGTTTTTTTGTACAAGAAACAAGTACCATACAGTCCCTCCATATTTCATCTCCCTATATTCTAAATTGATTAATGAATACGTCGAAACAGTTTACTATACTGACCATTGACCCAAATTCATTCATCAAATAGATTATAGACTAATGATAAAGCAATGATGACTATTATATTTCAGTGCCATTTTAATTAAGAAATTCTTATCAAACCAGAGAGAATTATTTAATTACAACAATATTACATGTTGTTGGACCAAGAACGAATTTGAGTAGTCATGATAATAATAATAATAAAAAAAACCCCTTCCTTCTTTTTTTTTTCCCAAAAAAACCCTTACCACCCCCCCCCCCCCCCAACAAAACTAAATTTTTCTCCTTCTTTTTAAAAAACCGCCCCCCGGCCGGGGGCTTTTTCCCCCCCCCCCCTCCCCCCCCCCCCCCCCCCCCCCCCCCCCCCCCCCCCCCCCCCCCCCCCCCCCCCCCCCCCCCCCCCCCCCCCCCCCCCCCCCCCTTCCCCCCCCCCCCCCCCTTCTCTTTCCCCCCCCCCTCCCTTTCTCCCCCCCCCCCCCCCCCTCCTCCCTTCTCCCCCCCCCTTCCCTTTTTTTTTCTTTCCCTCCCCCCCCCCCCCCCCCCCCCCCCCTCTCTCTTTTTTTTTTTTTTTTTTTTTTTTTTTTTCTCCCTCTCTTCCCTTTTTTTTCTCCCCCCCCCCCCCCCCCCCCCCCCCCCCCCCCCCCCCCCCCCCTTCCCCCCCTCCCCCCCCCCTTTTTTTTTTTTCCCCCCCCTTCCCCCCCCCCCCCCCCCCCCCCCCCCCCCCCCCTTTTTCTTCCCCCCCCCCCTCCCCCCCCCCCCCCCCCCCCCCCCTTCCCCCCCCCCCCCTCCTTCCCCCCCCCCCCCCCCCCCCCCCCCCCCCCTTTTTTTTCCCCCCCCCCTTTCCCCCCTCCCCCCCCCCCCCCCCCCCCCCCTTCCCTGCCCCCCCCCCCCCCCCCCCCCCCCCCCCCCCCCCCCCCCTTTTTTTTTTTTCCCCCCCCCCGGGGGGGGGGGGGGGGTCCCCCCCCCCCCCCGCCTTTTTTCGTGCCCCGGGGCCCCCCCCCCCCCCCCCCCCCCCCCCCCCGGCGGCCCCCCCCACCCCCCCCCCCCCCCCCGCGCCCCCCCCAAAAAAAACAAACCCCCCCCCCGCGGGGGGGGGGGGGGGCCCCCCCCCCCCCCCCCGGGGCCCCCCCCCCCCCCCCCCCCCCCCCCCCCCCCCCCCCCCCCCCCCCCCCCCCCCCCCCCCCCCCCACCCGGGCCCCCCCCCCCCCCCCCCCCCCCCACACCCCCCCCCCCCCCCCCCCCCCCCCCCCCCCCCCCCCCCCCCCCCCCCCCCCCCCCCCCCCCCCCCCCCCCCCCCCCCCCCCCCCCCCCCCCCCCCCCCCCCCCCCCCCCCCCCCCCCCCCCCCCCCCCCCCCCCCCCCCCGGCCCGGCGGCCGCCCCCCACCCCCCCCCCACACGCCCGGGGGGGCCCCCCCCCCCCCCCCCGCGGGGGGCGCCGCGGGGGGCAACGCCCCCCCCCGGGGGCCCCCCCCCCCCCCCCCCCGGGGCCCCCCGGGGGGGGGCCCCCCCCCCCCCCGCAAAACCCCCCCAAAAAAAACCCCCCAAAACCCCCCAAACAAAACCCACCCCCCCCCCCCGCCCCCCCCCCCCCCCCCCCCCCCCCCCCCCCCCCCCCCCCCCCCCCCCCCGCCGCCCCGGGCCCCCCCCCCCCCCCCCCCCCCCCCCCCCGGCCCCAACAAACCACGCCGGGGGGGGGGGGGCGCGGCGGGGGGGGGCGGGTCCCAAAAACCCCCCAAAAAAACCGCGGGCGCCGGGGGGGGGACCGGCTGGGGGGGGGGGGAGAGAAAACACCCCCCCCCCCCCCAACAGCCCAACCCCCCCCCCCCCCCCCCGGGAAACCCCCCCCCCTTCCCCCCCCCCCCCCCCCCCTTTTTTTATTTTCTTAAAAAAATCTTCTTCTTTTTCTTTTTTTTCTTTTCTTTTTCCTTTCTTTTCCTTCTCTTTTTTCCCCCCCCACCCCCCCCCCCCCTTTCTTTCCTTCCCCCCCCCCCCCCCCCCCCCCCCCCCCCCTTCCTTTCTTTTTTTTTTTTTTTTTTTTTTTTTTTTTTTTCCCTCTTTCCTCTCTTCTCTCCCCTACTGTTGCTCTGTCACTACTATTTGAGTAGTTGTGTACTGGGGATGTGTCCTTTGGCTAGGAAACCCGCCCCGGAAAAAACCCGGCGCCCCCCCCGGTTTGGGGCCCCTGGGTGTTTCCCCTTCCCCCCATTTTTTCCCCCCCCATGCTCAAATCAAGGTTTATAAGTATTTATCATTATAAATACTTATAAACCTTGATTTGAGCATCTCACCTTAGTGGTTGGTGTAAGAAATTCATGCATTAATAAAATTCAATACATTATATCGTAAGGAATGTTAACATCCAAATTTACTAGATAAAGATTAACATGGTTGAGAAAAATTATAAATTAAATTAAGAATGTTGGATTTGGTGGCAATTGAACCCCTAACTGATTGATTTTTAGCCAATCATTGTATGGTCTGGCATATAGACCTTATGTTTGGTTGTACAAGTCTGTTATATAAACCAACTGACTACTAAATGTGGCTGAAATTATGGAAAACATATGATAATAATATTCAGATTAGCAAAATTTAAAACTTGATAATGAATTGTAAATTACAAAGAATATCATTGCCCTTTGACCTCAGTCTAGTTTTTGTCAGTTGAAGAAGAAAATGTTTTAATTCTGCCTTTTTATAATTATATTTTGCATTCAGTTTGTTTACCAACATATCATTTAGTTAGTCATGTTGTGAATTTTAAAATAGAAACAGATAAAACAAACAATTAATTCTAAATTTCCCCAGTATAGTTTAAGTAAGTAATAATTATAGATGATATTTAACGAATTCTTCAATTATAATTTATATTATGCTCACAGTATGGCCTTCCAACATTTAAAGTAATATTAAGACTGCAAGCCCTTATAACCTACAAGTAATTTCCAAAATTTATTTAATTAATTAGGACTCCTAAATATAGAAAAAAACGGCCGCATGAGTCGAGAGTAAGTCAAGTCGTGAGTATTTTTTATAGTAACCTTTCTTTAGTAATTTCAAGTGTCAAAATAGACCTAAATTGCGTTTCATATGGATTGTGTTAAATATATATTTTTTATAGTGTAGCGACAAAAAAAAAACAAGTTTCGATTTTTTTAAACTAACATTACTTCAGAAAGAATGGACAGAACCTCATGAGCGACGTGTCAGTGTGGAATAGTACGGGTAACAGTATATCTTTAACAGGCCACAATTGTCCAATTGCCCATATACTCTCTAATGTGTGGTTTAATGGGATAAGAGGACTCTTCGCAAATAACTTCCTCTGCTCCACAGAACCTACATTTAATAGAAAGACTATTTTGGGTTCGCGTGCGTCCTACATGTAAGGGCTTTGATATGATCGATACGAACGGTTTTTTTTTTATGACAAAGCAGGGCATACGAGCAGGGGGTTAATTACATAGACGATGAAATACTTCAGCCATAAGTTGCCTAAAAAGATGCGCTGTCGGCCTCTGTTGGCTAT